GGGATTGCCGGGACAGCCGCGGGAGAAGCGGTCGGGGCCGGGATTGCCGGGACAGCCGCGGGAGAAGCGGTCGGGACTGGGATTGCCGGGACAGACGCGGGAGAAGCGGTCGGGGCTGGGACTGCCGGGACAGACGGGGGAGAAGCGGTCGGGGCTGGGACTGCCGGGACAGACGGGAGAGAAGCGGTCGGGGCTGGGACTGCCGGGACAGACGGGGTCGGCGCAAGCGGGAGCCCTGGTGCGACCGCCGGGAAGATCGCGGGCAGAGTGGATGAGGCTGGGGCGAACGGCGCAGCCAGGAACGGCACGAGCGGGAATCCAGGATCTGGGACAGGCGGCGCAGCCATGAACAGCGCGGGGACAAGCGGGAACGGGGGAGGTAACATTTCCAAGAGATCTCAGCACTTTTATTTCTTTTTCTTTTCTCCCTCTAACTCTGGGGTTTCTGATATTTTGAAAACTTTTATCCCCAGTCTCCTGTCCAGCATGCAGCATATTCTCTTTCTTCTGGATTAAACGGTTCTTTTGAATTCACAAATATGCTTAAAGCCTGACAAATCCAAGCTTCAAAAGAGCCATATCTAGTCCAGAAAACGTGGTCAGATCTTATTTCCCTTTTTGCCCATTCTGTCATACAAAACTACATCATCTTTACTTTCTCCTTTTTTCTTGTAAAGGGGTCAATATCCCAGTTAGCTAACATAACTCCTAGAGGGCTATCTTGGGGTATCTCTGCTGGCACCCTTTTAGTCTCTTTTTTCCTGTACCCGACTTACTGGTTTGTTGTCCTATTTCTCAGGATTTTATCTATTTGTCTCTGGTTCTATTTTCCACTTCCCAAACAACTTGAATGCCACCTCCTCCCCCAAGGCACGGGAAACCCTTTCTCTCACCAATACAATACACCTCATTCCAGAAAATAAAGTTGCACTTTAAATTCAACAATCTATATCACATATACTTGCATTTATTCACATTCACTCGATTTTATTTCTTCAGTATTTCTTTCTCACTCTCCCCCTCACTCACCACCAAACAGCACAAAATATGGTACCTTTTCTTTCAAGTTACTTGTTAATATCCACCCGTGGCTATAAAAATCTCTAAATGTCCAAGGTTTCTTGCATCAGTCTGTCAGGAAAATTAATCCGTAAACACCAGAGGTTTATGTCCAAAAAGGAGCCAGAGGAGTCATTTTTGCTTTATTTGAATAAAGGGAGAGGCCATGGGACATTCCCCTGGGAGCTCTCAAATTTTTGGAGGACACACCCTCCTTTTTATCCTATTTTCCCGGCCGCATTTCCCTCTCTCTTTCCCCATTGGCTGAGGGACTTGAGAGGCACAGACTTCCCGGAACGCCTGATACCTGAAATTCCCCT